ATAGCCTCCGCTATGAGCTCTTCATCAGACTCCAGCTAACGTTGGTGCTGCGCCCCTGAACAGCTACAAATGTTAGACACATCAACTCACTCTCTTTCTATCATCACCTCAGTCAAGAAAACCTAATGTATTGACTATTCTTTGAGATTTCAAAATCTTAGTGGATAAACACCAGTAAAGACTTTAGGACCCTGGCCCTAAATATTCTACTTCTGGCCCTTCTCTAAACTAATTGATAACTTGTCATTTATTCATTTCTTATTCACATTTTAGCTAAACCTACCAAGTAATTATCACTAAACTGTGCTAAGCACCCAACATCTGGTTTGATGATACTGTTTTCTTAGGCAGGATATTGCTGCATTATAATCCTCCTGCATCCGAGTGCTCGCATTCATACCACATGCCCAGAGAGCAATATTATTTTTTAACTTTTTGATGTGCAATAGAAGTCAATGCTGGTTTTAAAAATTACTTTTAAAACAAGCCCTGGGAAAACCTGTCTCCATTGGGAAAAGCTTCTCTGGTGCCTGACATTAGAGAACATGTCCAGAGTTGCTGAAGCAACCTCATTTTTAGGAGGGTGGGGCGTGTATAAAGCAGGGCTAGAGTCACAGGGCTGGGGGCAGACATGTCCTATTTTAAACAGGGTGATGAGAACAGTGGCCTAGTGGTAAAGTATGAACTTTAGCACACATGAGACCTGGATCCAGTTTTTAGAACTAACTAAATAAATAAGATGATGGGTGGGTCTCACCAGGAAAATCTCAAGGAACACTAAATATTAAGATTAACTGTTACTATATTATAACTATTAATATATTAATGTTACATAATATTAATAAATATTAAATATTAATAATTAAGATAACTGTGACAATGCAGAAATTGTCTCACAACATTTTCAAAGGAAAACCAAAGGTTATTCTAGAGAACAGACAATGCCGCTTTAGATGCATAAATATATACTTACATGCATTTATGGACTACAACAATAGATAAATTATTGATGCCTTTACTATTATAGCATTATTTTTCTGAGTATATTACATTTTCTATTTAAAAAGTGTTTTATGGAAGGCTGGAGAGATGGCTCAGTGGTTGAGAGCACTGACTGCTCTTCCAGAGGTCCTGAGTTCAAATCCAGCAACCACATGGTGGCTCACAACCATCTGTAATGAGATTTGATGCCCTCTTCTGGTGTGTCTGAAGACAGCTACAGTGTACTCATAAATAAAATAAATCATTTTTTTAAAAAAAAGTGTTTTATGATGTCTGAGTCAGCTATTACTATAACAAAATATCTGAGATAATCAACTTATAAGAATTGTATTTTGGCTCACTGTGTGGATGAATGAGAATGACCTCCGTAGGCTCAAGTGTTTGAATAGTTGGTGCCCAGTTGGTAGAACTGTTTAGGAAGGATTAGAAGGCGTGGTCTTACTGGAGTTGATGTGGCCTCTTTGAAGGAGGTGTGTCAGAAGGGATGGGTTTTGAGATGTCAAAAGCCCACATCAGGTCTAGTCTCACTCTCTCTTTCTGTCTGCAATGTGAGAACCATGTGAGATTCGAGCTATGGTTCCAGCCTCATGCCAGCCTGCCTGCTGTCATGCTTCCTGTCATAATTGGTCATGGACTAACCTTTTGAAACTGTAAGCAAGTCCCCAATTAAATGATTTTTTTAAAATAAGACTTACATTGGTCATGATGTCTCCTCACTGCATAGGACAGTAACACTCACAATTGCAAAGGTCTTACTCTATAACAGTTTGCCTCATTGTCTGGGGCCTCTGGTGGTAAATGGTGTTGGAATAACAGCACAGAGCTGTGTGCTCTGGGCCTAGAAAGATGGTTCAGTGGGTAAGAGGACTTGCTGCTCTTGCAGAAGACCCAAGTTCAGTCTCCAGCTCCCACCTGTAATTCCAGCTCTAAGTAGTCTGTCGCCCTCTTCTGGCCTCCACAGACACCCAAATGTGAGACACACACACACATAAAAATAAATTTTAAAAAGAGATAAAGGAGAAAAATGAAAATGTAGCTATAATTTCAAGATTCCCTTCCCAGGCCTCTGGTGACTCGAAGACTTTAATGTGTTCCTCCAAAAATGATTATTTGAGGGGCCTGGTCCAAGAGAGGCAACCCAGACAGGTTTACTTCCTATGACGCTCATCCACAGCTAGGTACTGAGCATTAGCTCATCAAGAGAAGAGGGCAATGTGTTAGGGCAAATGTCCTAAATGCTGAATGCTTCCATGTCACGCGTAGTGAGTAAAAACCTCAACACTAAGGTTTCGGGGTTTGATTTCTCAAGAGCTCAGTTGCTTTTACCTAAATTTTCACTCTTTCTTTCTTTCTTCCTTCCTTTCTTCCTTTCTTTCTTTCTTTCTTTCTTTCTTTCTTTCTTTCTTTCTTTCACCAAAAAACAGAACCAAGACAAAACAAAAACACAGCTGTACTAAAGGCAAAGATGCATATGGAAAAGACTCTCATGCCTGTGTTTATCACGGCCATGTTCACAGTAGCCCAGATACCCCTTCAGTTCAGGCCCCAGCAGAGGTGTAGATGAAGAAATGTGGCATATGAACACAATATAGCCATAAAGAAGCTCTGAATCATACAAAGCACAGCCAAATGCCTGGTGTGGTACGAAGTGAACTAAGCCAGACACAAGAGGATAAGAACAAACGTCCTCCCTTAAAAGAAGCAAAGTTGACCTGAAAGTAGAGTAGTGGTTGAGGACAGGGGAGGGGGGGTGTCAAGAGGGTGGGGGTTAGAATAGATGGCACACAGTGTATGCAGATATGCATGAGCCTCATTAATATGCATATTAGCATGTGGAGAGCTTTTGGGGCTGCTTGGCAGGAATCTGACATTGGCCAAGGACAAGGAAATGGGCTTTAGGAAGGAATCTGACTTTGGGCTGTGACAAGGAAGTAAGTTCAGGCAGGAATCTAATTTTAGGCTAAAACAGAGAAGTAATTTCAGTCAGGAATCCAAGTTTTAAGCTAGAACAAAGAAGTAGGCCTCAGGCATGAATATGACTGTGGGCTAGGACAGGGAAGTAGGCTCAGATATTTTTGTCATCCTGATGAGCCCTTAGAAACAGTGATCAAGGGGTGATCACAGGACTCTGTATATTGCCTTGTTTGTTCCTTGACTCTTTTCTTCTATTGTATTGTTGGTTCCTCAAACTAGAGCTGACCTAAATACTTGCATGTAATTAAAAGGGTTTAAAAGAAATGTGGGATTAAACAAACCTGCCTCAGTCTTCAGCCTCATAACTGGCTGGGGTCATGCTGCAATTTTGTCTAATCGTCTCTTTTCTTTTTTTCTTTTTTTTTTCCTTTTTTAAAAATTTACTTTTATTCTTATTTTTATTTTTGTCTTTTTTCTTTTAATCCTCACTCTTGCGCTGAAGAACCTGTTGACTGACTGAGCGGGCTTGGTCATTAGCATATATTAGTTTAATTTTTTTAAATAGGTCTCTTGAGGAAAAAAATATGCTATGCAATAAACAGGCTTCTTGGGATCTACCACTAACCACTCTAGTTATCACAGTGTGTTGCTATTGGGAAATTTCAAACTGATTTTTGAAAAGATGAAATTTTGAGATGGATTTGAGAAGGAAAGTAGAGCAGCCAGGGATCCTGAGTGAGCTAAAGTTGACTATAAAAGGAGGGGGCACAGCCTCGGCCTCACATACACTTTTTCCCCAACCTTTCTCCCTCCTGGTTACTTCCTTCTGGCTCCTTCTGAATAGACCTAGTTTCTTTTTGGCTTCAGTCTCTTAGTGCCCTGGGTTAGTTAACTTCTTGTGAGTCAAATAGTCACAGTGATTTGCAGACTTGCCACAGGAATGCTGTTTGTTAGAGTGTTCTACCTGGTACATGTCACAGGCTCACAAAGTCATGTTTCTCCTTTCTTGAGTGCCTTAAGTCAACAGAACACGCCCACACGCATTACCACCTCCCTGAACCCTACAAAGATGTAATCAATACATCCATCTGAGAAATAACTTGCACAGGCCACAAGAGTCTCCATCTAGGGTTCTGTGGTTACCCGGGGTTGCCTTGTTCATGAAAATTAAGAGACTCAGCTCTCTTTATGTAGAGACAACCTGTCCACGGTGTGAGCAATCTACACAATGGTACTCTAGAAATACTAGGCCTTTCGCCACCCAGTCACTTTCCCTCCCCATTATGGACTTGCTCATATGAATGTTTAAATGTATTGTTTTATTATGGCAAGCCATATTCTCCAATAAATAATTAGAGATAAGTTATAAAACATAAGGCAAGAAACAATACGGTTTAAGGTGAGTATGAAAATAGAAAAAGGCTCAATATTGAGAAGAGAGAGCTTTAAAAAGAACTCAGTCTGTTGAGGTTTGGTCTGTTGCTATGTATTGTAATTCTATACTCAAAGGTCGAGGCCTATGAGTGAGTTTTATGTTTGCAAACTTTTCTTCTGGTCTGGAAACCTTGTTCCTGATTTAAAATTATTGGTTAAATAAAATTAGCTACAGCCGCCGGACAGTGGTGGTGCACACCTTTAATCCCAGCACTTGGGAGGCAGAGGCAAGCAGATTTCTGAGTTCCAGGCCAGCCTGGTCTACAGAGTGAGTTCCAGGACAGCCAGAGCTACACAGAGAAACCCTATCTTGAATAACGTAAAAAAAAAAAAAAAAAAAAATTAGCTACAGCCAGTTATCTGAGGAGTAAGAGATAGGTGTGTTTGGAGTGACCTGATTGGAGGAGAGAAAGGAGAGAAGGAGGAGGAGAAACAGCCATGGGTTAGGAGTCAAGAAACCATGCCCCTGAGGACTGGCCAATTGGAGTTAAGAGCAGCCCAGATGAAGCATAATAAGTAAAAACTTGGGGTTATAAATAGAAAAATAAATTCTAACAGCATAGAGGTAGAGCAATAGCTAATGCCTGGAAATGTTTGTAAACTGGCAATGTGAACTTTCACTCCACAACTTTTTCAGATGCCCATCGATCATGACAACCATTCGACTACGAGAATTTGTAGAGCATCGCCCATCGATTCCACCTAGGTAAGGCTCTCTGGGATACAGAAACCACCAGGCTGAGGAAGGCAGGTGCCCAGGGGACTAGAATCACCTACCCGACTGCCCAGGCACTAAAGGGCAACTGCTGCCGAGAGCAGGGGATAGGTGTCAAGTGAGTCCTCGAGTTTAGAGAAAGTTGCGGGGTTTGTAGGGTTTTTCAAAAAGATGTAAACAATATGCATGCGTGTGCGCGTGTGTGTGTGTGTGTGTGTGTGTGTGTGTGTGTGTGTGTGTGTCACATGCTTAGGCCAGGAGAGGACATTAGGTCCTTGAGCTACAGGTGGTTGTAAGCTATCTGATATGGATGCTGAGAACTGAACCAGGATCCTTTGGAAGAGCATCTAGAGGTCTTAACCACTGAACCAATCTTCAGCTCCTAGTTTATTGAAAGTTGTGAGATAAGAATATCTTCTTTGAAGAATCCAAACAACCAGGAAACTCCAAATGCCCAAAATATGAGACAGAGGTTGCTTTTCTCATGGAACGGACTTTATCAAGAAGAATGGGGAACTCAAGCCCAAACTTTGAACTAGAACTATTTGTTCTTGGGGTAAATAAAATCACCACATTTCTCTACAATATGAGAGCTGACCCAATAGAGAGAGACTGAAGGGAACTCTCATTCACTCTTCAAGGCCGCATATCACTTGGGGTAATAAGCCCTATAGGTAGACTTTACTGTGCTAGGTTTATTTTGCTGGGAGAAAGCAGGTACCATCCGTAAGGCCTAAGCCCTCTCTCCCATCAGCCCCTGCTATGAGATCTGCAGAGACTTAGAAACTAAGAAGTTTGGGGCAGCAAGTGTCACATGCTGTGGGCCAGCTTCTTTTTAAAAACCCTTTAGCATTATTTTTAAGTTATTATAAAAATAAATGGCTTCTAGATTTAGAGCCAAGAAAGATACAAGAGGGCCAGGCGGTGGTGGTGCACGCCTTTAATCCCAGCACTTGGGAGGCAGAGACAGGCGGATTTCTGAGTTCAAGGCCAACCTGGTGGTCTACAGAGTGAGTTCCAGGACTGCCAGGGCTACACAGAGAAACCCTGTCTTGAAAAACCAAAAAAAGAAGAAGGAGAAGAAGGAGAAGGAGGAGAAGGAGGAGGAGGAGGAGGAGGAGGAGGAGGAGGAGAAGAAGAAGAAGAAGAAGAAGAAGAAGAAGAAGAAGAAGAAGAAGGAGAAGAAGAAGAAGAAGAAGAAGAAGAAGAAGAAGAGAAGAAGAAGAAGAAGAAGAAGAAGAAGAGGAAGAGGAAGAGGAAGAGGAAGAAGAAGAAGAAGAGGAAGAAGAAGAAGAAAGAAAGAAAGAAAGATACAAGAAGGGGAATGTGGAATCTTCCTCCATGGTTAAGGAAAGCCACCCTAGGACAGGCTTGTAGCAGGGGAGTCCGGCATAGAGGCCTAGTGAGGCCATTGCTTGAAGCTCTAGAAGCTTGGATTACACTGGAGACCCAAAGCTGTTGGCCATGCCAGAGCGATGGAATTCCTGTCAAGGAACGTGAAGTGTGTTGCAGTCAACAAAACTGGAGGGAGTGGGATGTATGAAGAGTCATCATCTAAACCCTTGGACATCAGAGATAACAGAATTTGGGGTGTGAAATGTTGTTTTGGTCCAGTAGTTCCTTAATATGTCCCATTTCCTCCCATTTGGGACAGTAATATATATTCTGTGCCATTGTACTTGGAAGCATGTGATCCGGTTGGTCTACGTTGGTTGACTTTATAGGGAATTACAGTTAAGAGATTGCATGATTCTCAGAAGAGACTTTGAACTTTGGGTTTTTAAACAGTGCTGAGACTGTGATAGACTATGGGGCCTTTTGAAGCTGGACTAAACGCACTTTGACTTATGACGTGGCTATAAGCCTGTGGGTGCAAGGGAGTAGAATATGATGGTTTGAACAAGAACGGCTCCGTAGGCTTAGATGTTTCAGATGTTTGAATGTTTGGGCCCTAGTCTCTCTCTCTCTCTCTCTCTCTCTCTCTCTCTCTCTCTCTCTCTCT